AACAGATATCGGCGTGTCCGCACGCTGCGAAAAACACCAGCGGATTCGAAGCCACCATGAACCAAATTGAAGCGGTGGAGGTTCGCCGTGACGAAACGCCTTGCTGCAGTTCCCATTAAGGCAAAATAGCGCGCTTTAAGGCTAGGGCAGGCGTTACACTTTCGTCCTATCTTTGGACACCGAAACATCATTCATACATAAAAAAACGCATTCGATAGCTATATTATAAGCACTCAGTATCCTTAAGGTGTCCAGTGTACTATGTAACAAATTTTCGTCTCTCGTGCGCCTTTTCCAGCAGCTTGTTCGCGGAAGTGGTCTCACTAATTATCGAGCAAATCGATAATTAGTGGGACCGCTTTAGTTACAATTTTAGAAAACCAAGCATCGTTCATACATAAAAAAACAGATGCAATAGCCTTCCCAGATGTTCTTCTGTATATATGATAAACACTTAGTATCCCTACGGTGTCCAGTGTACTAGCTGTCTTGCGGATGTGATATGGCAATTTCTGGGGGCTTCGATCCACATAATATTTCTTGATGTCTCACTACATATTCCTGTGGTAACCGGCTATGAAACTGGTCAATAGATAAAAACTTCATTCGGGAAAAAACTGGGTCTTGTACATTTGTCAGAGGTCTAAACTGCTGTGTAATCAATCTCACGTTCTCTAGTAGAGTTGTCTTTCTGTATCTTTGTGGTCGAGTGTTCATAGTGCCATCAATAGTGATCACCAGCCAGTTATATGTACTTCCCATTCATCGACTCTGGCAGCTAAACAAATCAATATTTTTATTAGCTACAGCACCATAAAAAGTTGTTTGATGTAAGCCATTTGTTCGTTATGCGATGCTTCTGATGAACAAAAGTTGCAAAAATTTGTACTCTAGAAACTACTAAGCAAAGTTCAGAATTCATGGTTCAACTGAAGATAATTAATTTGTTCAACCTTTAGTGAGACGCGGGTCAGTAACCTGGCTATAAAAAATGAAAAGCAGCCTGGAAAAGTTTATTATAACTAGTGCCCGGAATATAGGCGTGATCATGATTTCTATGGAGCCATATTCAAGCACACGGTATCTAAAGTGCAGGATGGCTACGTCACTGAGCAATACAATAGAAAATTATGCAGCGCTCAATCATGGGGTTTTAAGCGTACTCCGAGGAACGAATAAAAGAAGCTAAATAATTATGGAAAGCAGATTTTTCTGCCACGTATGGGGAGGCTGTCACACCTGTGAAGTCGTTGGCGCCTCGTGGCGCACACGTGTTTCACGGATAGGCAACATTTAGTGTTCAGACTCATTGAGTGGTAGGTGGTGTTGTACTGACGAGCGTTTATCACCAGCACCATCATCATCATTGTGAGTGCAATAGCGCCAGCAGTGACGCCTGGCGAAGAGTCTGAGTGGCGGCATTTGACACATGGGCGAGTCTTTTCGACGCGTAGCAGTGGGCCTGAATGGTTGTCTTTCGCGGCGGGTCCACGGTGAATGCATCGTGGGTCGTCTGCCGTGGGCCCTCGTGCTGAGTCAAACGTTAGTGCCGCTGCCTTCACGCTATCTTGCGTTTGATTGTCCTGCCGCGGTGGTCTAGTGGCTGAGGTACTCGGCTGCTGACCCGCAGGTCGCGGGATTGAATCCCTCCTGCGGCGGCTGCATTTCTAATGGAGGCAGAAATGTTGTAAGCCCGTGTGCTCAGATTTAGGTGCACGTTAAAGAACCCCATGTGCTCGAAATTTCGGAGCCTCCACTACGGCGTCTCTCAATCATATCATGGTTTAGGGACGTTAAATCCCACAAATCAATTAATCATGGTGTGTTTGTTGGAGTCTATTGTAATGTTGTGTTAGGGTTTTTCGGCGTGTTGATCACAACTGATGTTTGTTTTTATTTGGCCGGCGACGTCGTTTTTCTACGACCGATTGAATATTTGAGTGTGTCTGGTACCTTTCGATGGCGTCAACTGAGCCGGTGTGTTCCGAAAGTGGGCCTTTATCCGTGATTCCACACTAGCTGCCCAGTGTAGAGTTCTTGGAGCACCGGACGGCAGTTTTTTTTTCTGTGGTTCAGAACAGTCTTCTCAGCTCGGGTAGAGTAAGTTAAGGGGGTCTTACATTGCAAGCGTCGGTGGTGGGATTTGTTGAGAGCGAGGAGAACGGTTGTGGTGGCATGTTTCAACTTGTGAGCAACTTGAGTTTTTTTGTTGCTGTTGCGGCTCGCAAGTAGATCTTTTTCTTGTTTTTGTTTTTATAAGAGTGTTGTTGAGTTGTTGGTACGAGAGACTCGTGGTCTGCATTCCGGGGTGAGCAAATCTTATAGCACGTGGATCAGGCAAAGCCCGAACCGAGTTAGTACGAATGCCTCGTAGGTGGCCCGAGGTTCTGTAAATCGCTTTTTCTACCTAATTCTCCGGGGAGTCAGTTAAAGTTGCTTCCTAGTCTTTCGGCTTGGCGCCGGGGTATCGTGACGCCGGCCGAGACGGTGGGCGCTGATCACTCGGTAAGCAGCTGTGTGTGGCGAGCGAGTAGGGACATCATACAGAGTGGATGTGTCCTTGCGGCTGCCTCTTCTGCGTCTAGGCTGGCTGCAGGATGGATGCCGGTTGTTGTGGAGAGACTCACATGGCCCAAGTCTCTGCGCAGCCGCCTGTCGAATTCCGTCTGGTCATCTGCCGTGGGCCATCGTGGTGAGTCGAATGTTGGTGGCGCTGACTTCGTGCTACCTTGTGTTGATTGAGTGCATTACAATATTGTGTAAGGTTTTTTAGCGCGTTGATTACAACTGATGTATTTTGATTTGGCTGGCAATATCGTCGTTTAAAAAAATGAATAAGTGTGTGTGTTTGGTGCGCTTTGACAGCGTTGAATGTGTCCGTGTGCTTTAAAAGCATGCCTCAATCCGTGTCCTCACACACCACACACACCATACAATAAATACGAAATACCGATTGACGGCTTCAATAAGAAATCGATGCTTAATATCGCCTATGTTTTGCAAATACTTCCAAAATCTGCTCTAGGTAATGGCGAAATAACAGCAAAAATTGCTAAAGAAATCATTTCAAGAGCTCCCTAATCTCTTGAAAACTATAATCATATTATTAAATGCTCGTGAATTCTTTTATTAGAAAATTGCTAGATTGATTTCAGTCCATAAAACAACTGAGTGCAATATACGACAGAGATAGTGGACTAAATTGTGCTAACATCTAATCTGGTAATTTAATTGAAGGAATTTTTTATGTTCGTAATAAGGAATTCGTAGAAGAAAAGGAAACTCGCGCTCACTTCTGAGTTTGTGTTTGATCTGCAGTTAGATTAAATTTTAGCACCCTAACTAACGGCCACATTAGAATTCAGCCACATTATGTATCATTGGATTAGTAAAACAAGTCAAACTCGAGTACTTGAAGTCACAATCACTAGAATGCATTGTCGAACTCCGCAGCAAAATTTATATTTACGTAGAGCTGGTCTGGCAGCCTTCTCTTATTGTTCTTTTTGCGGAGTAAAGAGTCAACTGCACATTACCCCACTTTCTGTAAAGGATACTCTGCCTTACGCAAAAACACTTTAGGTACCATTTTCCGCCTGCTTAGAATGAGTTTATATGTGCAAATTGCGCTTTCTCTCGGGGCTTTGTCTCTTGGCCAGAGTGACGGGAAAAGTGCTGACGCATTGCAAAAGCTCGCCAAGGGGGAAAGAAAAGCTGAGGTTTTGATGTCGATCTTTGCTAGATTTTTTCATATTACTTGGACGAATTCTATTATACCTTAAATGCACCGCTTCAATGTAATCCACTACAGTTTATTATTCCACTTTCAAATTCATCCTGTTTCAACTCTTTTTTTGTTTCAGTGAAAAGAAGAATTCTAGACTTTTATTAAAGAAGTCTTTGATGCTCTCGTAGTAGCAGGCTTGGTGCCTTAGGTTGTATACGAGCGACTACTGGTCAGCTGCCAGCTCGTAATAAGTTCACGTGCTACGTGACGCCATACAGGCTCATAAAGAGTGTGCTGCACTCGTCTTCATGGCTACAGATGGCGCTGACTGGTACTTCCACATTTAACATTCACATATATACCCAATGAAGTGGCTGGCAGGGTAGCCGTCGTAGTAGGTTAGTGGTAGGGCATAGAACACATGACTCAAAGGTCGCAGGTTTTGTTCCTGCCCACGGCAAGTTATCTTTTCACTGCCTTTTCTTTCTTCACATTTACTTTACCATTCAATCTAACCTCTGCTATACTTCTTTCTTTGGCATTATTGTCTGTTAGATCTCATATATATATATATATATATATATATGATATGCAGAGAGCCTGTGTCATTCGAATCGGTTCTTTCCATATTTCTTTTAAATAACACTCCAAACATTTTAAATGCTTCAGAAGGGATTCAAGCGCTTATCCGAAAATATTTACGTCAATTCGATTAGTGTAGAAACCAGATCACAAAGGTTTAACCCCCATGTGTTTTTAGATACACTCGCAGACACACTCTCAACAGGTACCATAGTTCATAATATGGCTAACGTGGACGTTTGTTTCTGCAGCGCAAGTAGAAAAGATTCCCATTTGTGATAAATTCGCTAAGTTTAGATAGTAAGCATCTAGGCTTTCTTATAATATTTATCCTGGGAAAAACTTATGGTGATTCATTAGAAGCTCTGAAATTATACATAGAATGGAAAAGAAAATAACCTCATTATATCCTGCAGAACGTGACTGGGTCGCACGCCCCGCTATAACCTACATGGGGCAAAGACGAACCGCCTGAGCAGGATGCTGAGTCCTAGTACTCTACTTTTGCAGCCATGTCAGGTGATGATAATGATGATTATGATGATGAATCATAGGGTAGCATGCCAGTTCTTGGTGATGATTGCTATAGGGAAGAAGATATCACAATCATCGTCAAATGAAGTCACGTTTGTTGGCTTGATCTAAGCTGAAGGAGAAGAAGATTACCCATCTTCCGGCTCGCAGTGTTGGAACCTAGAGCAGGAAAAATGCAGCCTGACGTGACCGCCAAAGAAGAGAAGCGTGTTGAGGAAGTGGACCATGTGGAGGGAGATATCGCCCAGCAGAGCCGACGTATCTTAAAGGAGCACCATTTCCCTCCGTCTTGGTGAGCTCGCCAGTTCCCAGCGCATATGCTACTATATCAATATCCCAGCTCAATCTTTCCACCACCGTCGGCGATCGCCGTGAGTTTCGCCCGCATATAGCTTGAAACTAATAATATCGCCGTGCTCATGTTGCGTTGTGCATGTCAGTGCAAGCGAGCCAGGGTGACCGGCAAGTTCGGCTAAAATAGAAAGGAAACACCAGCTTTTTCTTCTGTTAAGTATGTCGCTCGATAAACGAGTTAGCTGCTGACCTTGCTTTGTATGGCAGTCTATTGTGTGGCGGTCGAATTCAGTGCTTCGCCCAGCTAAAGAAATAAACACTTGCGCAAAGAAAGTGACGTTACCAAGGGTACTAAGGATGCTGATTACCCTTCATTAAGTTTATTGAATGAAATGTAACATCTGGCATTTTGCTTAGCTCACTGGGTGCAAGGTCATTTTCTCTTAAATACCTTTAAAATTAACCCCGAGAGGTATGGCTCTTCTTTTATTAGGAAGTAAATGAGGTAGTCATTTCTTTCACTAAAGCTTGGCTCGATGATTGATGTCGACGTTGAAGCTCAGAATGACCCAATGCCTGACCAATAAATCCACATAATTTGAAGGGTCATGAACTAGCCGCAAATAAAACCAGTAGTTTAAAGAACGCGATGTTAACATTAGTCTTTCAGTCGAATCTGTACCGGTATGAAAGGTCGCTTTACATAATGGTGTTGGAATACCGAAAGCCAAGCAACTCGAACGCGCTGCAAGCAGTACCCGTAGGAGAATGCAGTACAGGAATGAATAGGCTGTTGTAATGGGACTCCACGTTAAGAAAGCCAACTTCGTCATCATTGACATGTGAAGTAAAATTACAGCCTCGTACAAACACGTGCGGGGTGCACTGCTAACACCACACCAGCATGCCTTGCCGAGGAAAATGCTGAGCACTTTCAACCTGACAGGAACAGTCAGCGCGCTACATAAGGCCACTCACCTGCGGAACACGCCGTCATCGAAGCAGCATCTACAAAAAAATCACGCCCTTGTCCACTCTATGAGCTGACCTTCAACGCAACTCGCGAATAATATTTTGCAACATCCCTTCGTGACAACATGCTAGCGAAAGCAGCGCTTTTATGCTCATATCTCATAAGATTTTGCTCAGAAATTCTCTGCCGTTCCTAATTATATTGGCACTCAATCAAGGGCTCATTGCAACATCACGTTTTTCTTTGTTTTACGCTGACTAACGAGGTCTAGGAGTAAAAAATAAAATACTACCTAATGGCAGGCATGAACTAAGGGAAATAAGTTTTGATCGTCTGCCGACAATAATAATCATCTGTGGACCTACGACGGTGCTCTATAGGATTAAGCTTTTACTTATTTTCATTCCTATTTTTCTTTATTCGAGGCGCGTAGCATGGCTGGGAATCTTCTGCCAGGGCTTCAGCGTGAGTGTGGACATCGTACTGCGCAAAAAACTGGCGGAGGACCCGCGTTATGGTCGAGACGTCGCCATAGCCGTCGACGACGTCAAGGAAGTTGGTCACATCATGGGATATGTGGTCGGCAGTGTGCTCATGCAGGCGACCGGTCGAGTCACGGCAGCTCTACCTCTACGGCGTCGGTGTAGTCTTCGGTACGCCTCACTCACATATCTGTGCAAGCACTTGTTCATTCTTTTGTGGTTTATTCTGCCTTGTATTTCGAGAACGTAAACTGTAGCTGTGCAGGAATGTCTATTGGGGTCGAGAATCTTAACAAAAACAATTGTTATGGCCTTATGTACCAAACCTACACTACGATTATGAATGCCTGGAGGGCTACAAAAATATAAATTACCAGAAGTTCTTAACGTGCATTGACTTACAAGTCCACGAACATGTAGCGATTCTCCTACACGGAAATATGGCCAGCGTGTTCGAGAGTCAACTTTGTGACCTTTGAGCAAGCAGTCGAGTGCTGAAGCCACTATGGACGACCGCGGCGGGTACTACTGCATCTTTGGAATGTCCTCTTTGATTTTGATGGGCTGTGCACGTCGCGCTCTTATCCACAATTTATGTCAATGATAAACGGAAACAACACTTTCATTTGCGGGAGTATAATTATACCGTGGCAAAAACTTACTTGTTTCTTTTTTGTCCTATTCGCATAGCTTGAGTTGATGACTGCCTGAATGATAACTGGATTGCAATGATGCTAGATGTTGGAGTTAACTGTGTTAGCTGTGAAGTTAAGTCTAGCGTAAGTCATATCATGATCTCTATTGCAAATTGCTTTGTCAAACCTGAACTCTGGGGTCGCTGCAAAAGAGGCTTGCTGAAAGAGCTGAAACACTATCTCCATAACAGTGACGACCGCATGTTCAAACCAGCCCAAGATTCAAAGGTTCATGAATGTGCTTCGCGCACGCACAATTTCTCAAACACACGGGAACCATTCAGCGTTTGTGCCGGTGAAGCTTAATGCTACTGACAGTTTTGTGTTTAAAGTGAGCGTTATAATAATATGAAGAGGCCAAACAGTAATAAAAGTTGCGCGGTTATGTTTTCTTTCGTGAGGGATGACGTGTGGCACCTCTTCGTGACGTAAAGATACGTGGCAATGAGTGATACGAACCAATTTATTGATCTCATAACTGGAGCGTATGTCTTCAGTCAAACACTGATGCACGTGGAACCACACTCATCCCTTTAAAAGTGCCCGCACCACATTTGCATGTGCGCATGGGCACGCAAACGCTTCCACCGCTCTTTGCCGCACTTCACAGGACATTTTGCAAATTACGTGTTTTGCTTACGCACGGGGAATGGCAATAACCACCTCGTGAGAACTTTAAAGAAAAAGTGCGTTCGTTGTTTAGAGAGTTCAAAGAAACTGCTTGCTTCGGGCCCCCCTCAAGTAGCAGAATTGTTCTAACGTAGAGCTCTGCTCGAGCACGTACGTAGCAACCCCACTGATGCAAGCTTTGTGGATGCTGCACCATATGTCCAACAAGAGGCATTCAGCTGTTTCTATCGTCGACTCGAATTCCAGGCTCACTTGCTCCGCCATGGTACGAACATCAAAGCCAGTGATAGCAGAACAGGTTGCAATCGCAGCTTGCTATGCTAAATACCCGCAGAGAGTTAATATAAAAGTTCAATGTGGATATCAAGGCCTACGAAACGAGTATGGTAGCCCCTCTGGCCTTCCGCATTCTCTAAAGCGTCAAAAGTATCACGCCCCATTCTCTCATTTGGTTTTCCGCTAAACTGGGGTCCATTGAGGGCACCACCTCTAACCCCTAACGAGGGCGCATATGAGGATGTGCGAGGGCTCACTGACCGCACCGCCCCCGCACTCTTTGTGCCTTGCGGAGAACCCTTACTCACGTTTAGCGAAACAGCAAAACACTTCTATCCGTCAAGACGGGTATTCCCCCTCCCACACCCTGCCTTGTGCAGGGCGCAGACGTGCGGTTACCCTCTAACTATTTAAAGCCAGGGCGTATGCTAACCCTGTGGTTTTTATGCCGTGTATACCCTGAACGGTATCTAAGTGTGGATTGCCGTGCCTGTGGGCTGTTAGCAACATTCAACCACGTGTTGTGGGAATGTTAAGCCATCGGCTCCACCTTCAGCGAGGACAGGTGGGCAGTGCTCGTACGCAGCCTTGAACTTCACGATCAAACCCTGGCCGTCTAGAATACCTGTAAACAGTCCGCCAAGCTCGGCTTGACGGTCCCTACATGGGATTAGCCGGGCGGCGTGAAGTCTCTCCTGCGTGTTCACAAGACCATAATAGAGTTTTAATCAATCAATCAATCAATTATTCAATCAATCACAATGGACGTTGATATCTACGTTAAAATGAATTCGTAGTTACATTGAACTCACCTGTGTGACATTCACGCCCCCTTGCAGCACGACCTGAAAAAGCAGAATGGCACGCAGATTGAGTTCTTCCATTTTCAATGCGTTCACCTAACGCAGCCGTTCTATACTTCGCAGACCCGATGGCGACTTGGCGATGCATGCGATTCCATCCCATGCAACGTCTCGGTTAGTTCAACCATTCTTTACATTAAACCTATGCTCACTAACGGACACACTTTCGATGTATTTATGGTCTTCGGGCTTATCGTTCGTCAGGGTTTTCTTCTTCAGAATTTCGTATGTTATAGGACGTCTACAAAATATAGTTCACTTGATTCTGGTTGGCTGGTATGCAGTGCAAATAAATTCCGAGTCAAGGAGGAGCCTTTCTTCAGAGAATTTTTTCATCGATGAGCCTCTCTTACGCAGGAACACTGGCGACGGTGCTGTGCACAACGCTGCCGCACGTGCCGACGGCATTCCTGATCTGCGTATTCCAGGCCGTGGCGGGTGTGTTCGGAGCCGTGGGTAGCCTGACCGGATACGTCTACCTGTCCGAGGTGGCTCCCGACGAAGACCGTGGCATCGTGGCCGGCATCGAGCACTGCTGCTACCTGCTCGGCCGATTGGTCGCCAACATGTTTCCGAGCGCGTTGCCTTGGCAGTGGCTCGCCGTCCTCTCCCTGGCACCAAGCACGCTCTTCGTTTTCCTCATGAGGTGGACCATTGAGTCGCCGCGGTGGTTCTTGCAGGTCAGTGAGCCACCATTGCGATGTTGGAGTATATGCGGCAATATAGCGCGCTACCATATTTTTGCTGATATACTGGTCGCTGCGGTATCAAGCTCGCTCCCATTCGCTCCCCGTTACTTGTACTAACCTTGATAACATGTTTTTCTAATCAACATAACTTCCCATACTGCTGCAGCCACGGCCTTGTGCTTTTCGAGACGTGTCCTTCGATAAATAGGTGGTACGAGCGTATAAGAATAAGCGCTGAAGCGAATAAGCATAAAGTGGGCCTTAAATCAGTGTGACATCTGCGCATGGGTTGTTTATAAATATAAATAGCCAGCCCTGCAAATACAATTGACGTTCATCACAATTATGCCTACATGGGGTCTTTTTTCCAAAGCAGTTTCGAGGCCTGGTTGGTTTCTCTGGTACAATATTTCACCGTCACTTAGAGTGCTTTCGTTTGGTTAGTGCCAGGAGTCTGATATTTATCGTGTGCGTTTATCGGGTCAACGCTGCCGTTGGCAGTTTTTTTCTCAGCGCCTTCGCGTTTTAATTACGAGTGTTTATGCTCACCGTCAATAGATGGAGATATACACTATTTTATATGGAACTTTACCTCTAGCGCCATGGTTGGCATTGGTTGGGGGGGAGTGCACATTAGTTCAAAGAATAAATCCGCAGCCTTGCGACCAAATAAATAAGATGTTAAATTATTCCCTTCTGAGATCACTTGTGTAACAAAAGAATAGTTAAGGAGATCAGTTCTGAGGTTGTATGACCACACTTTTAATTTGCGACCATGAGGAGAGGACTGATAATGTGCTAATTTCAAATATTCTCAAGGAATAAAACATTTTTCTTATATGAAATGAATAAAATAGTTTGTCTTAGAATAGTCACCGATCTTGCGAACAATACCAATGAAGCTCTCTGTTCATACAACCGGAGCTTTTTGTTCGGTCATATTTAAACAGAATAAATACTGCTGCGATCAAGTGAATGCGCTGAAGTGCATGAGTTTGTAGTTCATGAAATGGATCCCACACAGAACAGGCATATTCCAGTATTGGTCTATTGTAGGCCTAATATGCGGCCTGCTCCAAAGGGAACTCCGGCGTTTTTTTGATAATCACCAATTTCAATAAAACTTCGAACATATTTCCGCGTTGGTACCTTGGTGATATGTGCCAAATTAGACAACCATTAGTCATTTAGTTTTTTTAGAAAACAAGTTTTAAAATCGACAGCTGATTCTGGAATCGCACTTGCAAACGCGGGCCGCCCTGTGTATGTGGCGTCATGGCCAACTTTTTTTCAAAAACCCTACGTTTCCTAGCAGACGGATGCAGCGCACAATTTCTTCTACGAGTTGACGACAATGTGAGCACAGTTTGTCAGCTCTATACAGTGTTTTAGTATTCTTTGACGTCGAATCTCACAACATTGAGCAAGGAAGAAATAGATTCGGGGCATGTCAGATGCTTCAGGCGCCGGATGCTCGAAACAAAAAAAGTTGGCCCCGTATCGGCATGTTGCACCGCGAATGTCATCTAAAGACGATATATAGTCTTGTGACTGGACAGAGTGAACAAAACGTTTATTTGATGTTCTGCGCACAAATGGCAGCATATGCACGGAGTGAATGATGGCGAGTGGGGCGAAGCATTTGTGAATGATGGCGAGTGGGGCGAAGCATTTGTGCGTTCATTCGTTCTTGCTTCCGTCCATTCCTGCGTACGTCTGTGTAACCGTCCATGCGTCCATCCACCCGTCCATGCGTGCGTCTGTTCATGCGTCCGTCCCTGCGTTCGTCCATGCATCCGCGCCTGCGTCCGTTCATGCGTCCATCCATGCATCTCTCTGTGTGTCCATTCGTCCATCCGTTCAGCACTCTAAGTACCACCATCTCGCATCTTTTCCTCATATATCCTCCATATAGAAGCACCGCCATCCAGCGGACATTTCAAGGACTAAACGGGAGGTGGCACATGCACACTTTCTTCCGGCTTGCGCTTCGGGTTTACTTCCCACCTTTAACCACCTCGAGTTCATGGTATATACTAGTTCACAGTTTCATGGCTATGCGGCCCAACGCTCGCTAAACCTTTCTATAACCAAGGAGGTTACACCCAGCGAGTATAACGTAGCAACCCTTTTTAGATGCGGAGCATCTAATACTCGAGGCTTGTAGTGCGGCGCCGTCCGCAAGCTTCCTCCTCCTTCTTCCACCACCTGTGCATCCCTTCCTCCTCTACACATCGCGCGCGCTTCACTCCTCCACCATCTGTGCACCCTTCCTCCTCTACACACCGCGTGCGCTTCTCCTCTTCACGAACATTCGCTAGCTGTATAATGTAGCGCGCATGCGCCGTCACGCTTCGAGAACATCGGCAGCTGACGCGCGCGCATGCGCCGTCGCGCTTCGAGAACATCGGCAGCTGACGCGCGCGCATGCGCCGTTGCGCTTCTCCCCCTTCTCGAACATTCGACAGCTGACAGTGCATGCGCCGTCGCGCTGTATATATACTCAAGGTCGGCGCTCGCTCGCTCAGTTGCCGCTCGTCGGTTGGTTTGTACGGCGCGTCGACGTCGAAGGTCACGGTGAAATGAATTCCAACGAATCCACAAACACAATGATCGACGTCCCTTCGACCAGCGCCGCCCTTTCGCATACGTGTGTACGTGTTCACTCATTTAACAGCCCCTCCTACAACCACGTTAACCAATTTAGCCATCGACCCAAGTAAGTCACAATTTAACACCCCATTTCACAACCACGTTAACCAATTTAGCCATCGACCCAAGTAAGTCGCACTTTAACACCCCGTTAACCAATTATATGCTCCGCATCCTCCTCAGTGTTCCCCGAGGGAAGCTGCGGGCAATTTTTTTGTCAGATCATGCTCAATGTACAAGCCAATAGCTGCTTATGGGGATCGCAGCGTGCGCGTTACCTAAAGGCCGAATGCTCCTGTCTCTCATTCCCCCTTAGCAGACATTAACATGTGCATTGAGCACTATCTTTTATTGTTCAACAACGCACAAAAGAAATATCTCACCGGAACCACCTTAGAGGTCAAAATCCTAAGGACCGCTATTTTGGGTATGTGCCACTGGTGGTTACGTAATACGAGGGACGCACAAGGTACGCCATAAGGAGCTTCACCCCTAAAAAAAAATCGGTGAATGGTATTCTGGAGGCGAGAGTCCCTCGAGTGTGCAGCGCAGGCTAACGAACGCATCAAGACCATAGTTATAGCGCAAGAACAGAACGACGACACAGACACAAGAAGGACACAATGGACACGATTGCGCGAGAACAGAACGACGACACAGACACAAGAAGGACACGAAGAACACAAGCGCTAACTTCAAACTTCCAGGTGGAAGTTAGCGCTCGTGTCCTTCGTGTCCTTCTTGTGTCTGTGTCGTCGTTCTGTTTTCCCGCTCTAATCATCGTCATCTCATACTAACTAGCCCAAGCTGCCACACTTCGAACGCATCAAATCACGTCACACGTGAGATGTGAGCGCCATCTGGCAGTTATCTTGGAAAACGAAGCGTGTATCCCGTCTCGGAGGTCATATGGTGTAGAATGCAAGGCGACGGGTAGGTGTCACCCCCGTGTCGTCTTAGCGAAGCGTTGGAAACACTTTTCTTTCGTGCAAGTGTTGCATGGTTAGTGCAGCGTGATAAACGCTACGGTCCTCAGAATTGCTTATGTTTGCCTTGTCCAGTAAAAGAAAGGTATGAATACAAAATAATGACGTGTTGTTATGGTGCCTCAGATATGCGCAATAATTGCTTTTTAATTGACAATCGCACAAGTGTGAATGCTGAACCTTGAGAAATATTGGTGAGTGCTGCGGATGGGGTCGGCCGTTTGGGATATCGGCCGGTCGCTCCGGCGCCTTTTAGGGTGCCGTTAAGGGTGGTCTGTACAGACAAACAGATCAAATTTTTTGCGTCGAAGGTTTCCCAAGAAAGACATTTGTCTTTAAAAAATGGCAGCATATCCAAGGAGTGAATGATGAAGAGTGGGGCGAAGAATTCGTCCGTTCATTCGTTCTTGCTTCCGTCCGTCCATGCGTTCGTCAGTGTGACCATCCATGCGTCCGTCAGCCCGTCCGTGTGTGCGTCTGTTCGTGCGTTCGTCCCTGCGTTCGTCCATGCAGCCGCCCCTGCGTCCATTCATGCGTCCATCCATGCATCTGTCTATGTGTCCGTTCGTCCATCTTTTCAACACTCCAAGTACCACCATCTCGCATCTTTTCATCATATAATCCCCATATATAAGCACCGTCATCCAGCGGACATTCCAAGGACTAAACGAGAGGTGGCACACGCACACTTTCTTACGGCTTGCGCTTCGGGTCCACTTCCCACCTTTAACCACCTCGAGTTCATGGTATATACTAGTTCACTGTATTCATGGCACTGCGGCTCAACGCTCGCTAAACCTTTCGAAAACCAAGGAGGTTACGCAGAGCGAGTATGACGTAGCAACCTTTTCTTGTCAGATAGTGCTCAACGTACATGCCAATGGCTGCTAATGGTAATCGCAGCCTGCGCGTTAACTAAAAGCCGAATGCTCCTGTCTCTCATTCCCCATTAGCAGCCATTGACATGTACATTGAGCACTATTTTTATTGTTCAACAACACACAGAAGAAGTCTCTCACTGGCATCACCTTGGAGGCCAAAATGTTATACTTGTTACATACTACGGGGGACGAACGGCTGCCGTTATAAGGAGTTTCTTCCTAACAGGCCCCGCCGCGGTGGTCTAGTGGCTAAGGTACTCGGCTGCTGACCCGCAGGTCGCGGGCTCGAGTCCCGGCTGCGGCGGCTACATTTCCGATGGAGGCGGAAATGTAGGTCCGTGTGCTCAGATTTGGGTGCACGTTATAGAATCCCAGGTAGTCGAAATTTTCGGAGCCCCCCACTACGGCATCTCTCATAATCATATGGTGGTTTTGGGACGTTAAATTCCAGATATCAATCATATCTTTAAAA